GATTTGGAGTGTTTTTCTTTATACCGCCTCTCAACTTTGATGGCTTTATGCACTAGCTCTTCTTTATCAACAAAAGTGTACATCTCAACTTTGTCTCTAATTTCAGGCCTTAACCCATCAATGATTCTGGTCATGCTTGCTTCTTCTCCTTCTTGTACTCCAGCTCGCATTTTAAGAAGGTCAAGTTCATGCACATATTCATCTACAGTCATAGAGCCTTGGCCAAACAGTCGTAACTTTCTGTTTAGCTCTCGGTAGTAGTAACTAGGGACATACTTGTTGCGCATGAGTTTCTTTAGCTTTGACCATGTATGAGGTGGTCCTTTGCCCTTAAGGCGCCTTTTAAGCTGTAAATCTTCCCACCAAACAATAGCATAGTCAGAAAATTGATATGAAGCAATTTTTACCTTCTTTTCTTCTGGCCAGTCATTCATTCTGAAGATTTGCTCAAACTTCATCTCCCAATCAAGGTATGCATCTGGATTTATATTACCCTTGAAGGTAGGGTACTTGATCTTTGGGTCATAGGTGTCCAAATCACGTTTTTCAGGTCTGCTCCTATTCTTTGAGGATGAAGAACCAGATCTAATCACCTCCTCATCACCACTACTTGCTTTGGATGCTTTTAGCTCCTCTAGCTCCAACTTGAGTTTGAGAAATTCATCTCTCATGGCTCTCATGAACAGCTTAGGATCTGTGTTGAATTCTTCCACATTGGCTTCTTTGTCACTCATCTTGAAATTGAAACGTTAGTGTGATCAAAGAGAAATGAAATAGTAAGAAGGGACCTTACCACTCTACTCGCGTGTTTCACTCGAGAAATTGTAGTGTCACTCGTGTTTAACTCAAATCTGGCTCTTAAATTGATGTAATAACACTCTCGCCTTTTACCACTCAAACTTGCCTCCTATAGTATTCTTGATTGAAACTCAACAAAATCAAGAGACAATGTTAGTAAATGGTAATCTCCACAACCAGAATTGCAAGAACCAGAAAATATAAGAGATAAGAAAGGAATATGTGATAAAAGAAGAAGGATAGGTACCAAAAACGTCAAAGGAAGGAAAAGAGGAGGGAAAACGTAAAAAGGAAAAAAAAAAAGAAAAGAAAGGAGAATATGGAAAGCTATGAATTAGAAAAGAAAGGAAAAAAAAAAAAGGAAGAAAATATTTAGGAAAGGTGCTACCTTGAAAATAATTTAGGAAATTGGGCACCTTGCAAGAAAAGCAAATCAAGTTAGGAAGGTGAGATATGGAAGGAAGGAAGCAAATAGGAAACTTGAAGGAAAAGGAAAGAAACTCAAATTAAGCAATACGGAAAAAAAAAAAGGAAAGGAAAAAAAATAGGAAACAAGAAGAAATTAGGAAACATGCAAAGAGAGGAAATAAGAACTCTTACCACCCAAGTTTAACGATTTAGGAAACTAGTTGTGACTTGTAATGGAAGCTCTTCTCAATTTTAGGAAACTCATCTTTAACATTGCAATTCTCAAATCTGCAGCTTCTTCTCTTTCTTTCTTTTTTTTTTTTGAATTTTCGGATTTTTTTTTCTTTTTTTTTCTAGTACTCCTTTTTTTTTCACAACACAACACTTTTTTTTTTTTGCTTTTTTTTGGTGCACGAATTTTTCTCTTTTTTTTTTTTCTTTTTGCTGCTCAAAGGAACACAGAAAGTCACAAAAAAAAAAACACAAATAGGGGTGGAAAGGCAAAGAAACAAATTGATGGAAGCAAGGGATGAAGAACGAATGATAGAATTAAGAAGATGAAACAAGAAAACAGAAATAATAGATAAAAGGATAGAACTTGAATTCTAGCAAACCTTAGCTCTGATGCCAAATGATATAAGGGACGGATACGGATCGGCTAGAAACAAGTTAGGAAACTAGACGAACGATCGAAGGTAGGACCTTAAGAGAACCTGTCTCTTACAACCCTAGCGATGGAGACACCACAAGGATGATCAGTCCTTGATACAGTCGAGTATTCCCACGAGAATACGAGGCGGCAAGCAAAGCTCACTCAAGAGAAATAAAATTCTCTAAAATTCATTCATTCAAATCTGATTCTCAATTACAAAAAACGTAGCCTTATATAGGCAGCAAAAGAACACTCTAGAATCAAAAAACCCTAGGTCATAAATGCCATAAATGTGCCTTAATGATGATTGACTATCTTGGTTGGCACCAATTAAGGCTAAAGGAAATAGGAAATTACCTTTTCTTGAAGAAAAAGGCTTCTACCTAAAAATAGGAAACTAACCTAAAATATTCTTATGCAATCTTTGACCAAAAGGCCTTATTTAATGCAAATAAAAATGGAAACTTAAAAAAACGAAATTAAACCATAACTAATACATAAAGACGCCTTCTTGATTCTTCTTGAATATTCTTGGACGTCACTTATGCTCCTCCTCCAAGGCACATGCTTGTCACATGGTATTTTGAGTGAATTCTTTAATCTGGACTGCACATGGGCCTTGTACATCATCTTGTTTGGCTTCTAGCAATGTAATCACCATGTTTGGACCCTTGATGGGCTGATTGAGGGATGCTTCTTCCAAATAAATGGGCTCTAACTCTTTAAGATCTTTTATCAAACAATTCAGCGCCTCTTTCATAGATTTGGTCCTTGCTCTTGTCATTGGGCCTACAATGCCTTGTAATGGGTCTTTTAGAATATTGGACTTCCATCTTTTAGCTTGGGCTCCACGCTCCGTGTTTTGGTCTTCCTTTGATGCTTGATCATGCCATGCTCCCCTATCATTAAGAGTGTTAGTTTTCTGCACCTTCAGTAACACTTAGCTGTAGATCAAATTAAGGCAATGAAGATGAAGTGAAACTCTTGGGAGAATTGATACTTTGATTGCTTTTCTTAAAATCAAAGTGCCGTTTGTATTCTCTTTGTTATCACTCCAATCCTATACCTAGAAAATCAACAAAAGCCTTTCTTTATTGATATGAATATTGCTCTGTCTCTGCACTGTTACCAGTAAATTGTATTAAGTTTACTTTGAAATTCAGAGAGTTATTAGACTAAGAGATTCGACACCCAGGTTGCAACATTGTGCTGCATAATCTTCTTTTCATTCTTGTTTTTGATTGCCTGTACGACAAAGGATAAATCAAATGGCACCGTTGCCGGCCTCTTAACTCCTGAATATTCATTCTGAGTATTACATCATTATGTTCAGTAGCCTTATTTCTGTGTACATTGTGCAAAACCAGTGGCTCTTCTTATTGTTTTGATTTTCTGTTGACAGTTTCAACTTGCTTGATCTCAATATTTCTGCTTGCATTTTGCATTCTTGTATGAGCCGTGACCTTGCTGAATTTTATCCTTTGGATAGAGAAATTAATAGAACTTTAAGAAATTTGAAAAAAGCCAACAGCTTCAGGGAACCAGTGCTCCACCAGAAACATCACCTGCTCCTCTTACACCTTCATCTACTGATTCAACCAGCCCTCTTCCAACGCACATATCTAATACAGAATCCTCTTTGGGACATTTCATAGATCAACATTTCATCATGAACCCACATCCTGACCATAATAATCCTAGGCCTAATGATACCAATAATGCTACTCACGTTCAGGAACAGGAAGTTGAAACCAGACCTGTACATTTAAATGCTCATCTTGAAGCTGAAAATAGAAGTATTAGGGAACTGAATAATTTTGCTGTTGATTATGATCCATATGGTCTATGGAATAATGCTGTGAATTTTAAAATTAAAAGTTCTCTAGTGAATGCACTTCCTAAATTTTATGGTCATGCAGGAGATGACCCACATCAGCATTTGCAAGATTTGTATATGGCATGCTCTTCCTTCAAACCACCCACCGTATCAATTGAAGAGGTGCTGAAGAAAGCTTTTCATTTTTCAGTTCTAGGTGATGCTAAAGAGTGGTTAAGGTCCCTTCCTCAACATTATGCTATGCTCACATGGTCCCAATTACAAAAGTTATTTTTGGAAAGATATTTTCCAACATCCAGAACAGCAACATTGAAGAAGGAGATTTATAGTGTTAGACAGACTAAAGGAGAATCTTTGTATGATTACTGGTCTAGATTTGTGGGAATGTTAACTCGCTGCCCCACCACCAAATACCAAAACAATGGTTGGTCTAATATTTTTATGAAGGCATGCTTCCACAAACAAAAGCACGACTGATGCTGCTGCCAATGGATCTATTTTAGATCTAACACCAACAGCTGGATGGGACCTTCTTGAAAAGATGGCCAGAAACAATCAGCAATTTAGCTCAAGAGACATTTATGATGTAGGAGAAGGAAGTAATGGACTTACTTCTGATTCTGTTTTACAGCGTCTAGTGGCACAAATGGAGAGTTGAAAACTGAAATTTCTACTCTTCATCATACTTCCTCTCAACCAGTGGCACCATGCAATCAATTGTAGCTCCTTCTTGTGCTATTGCGGATCTTCTATGCATCTTCCTGCTGTTTGTCCTTCCAAATTTGAAGAAGTTAATACTTTTTACCAAAACAAGACTAACCAGTACCAAAAAAGGGACCCATTTTCTGCCACATACAATGAAGGATGGAGGGACCATCCTAATTTATGGTGGGGGGTGGTGACAATAGGAACTTTAATGATAAGTTTTGATCCAACAATGCTGGACCATCACAGTTTCAGACCCCAAATCAGAATCTGGTTGAACCATCCAAAGTGCTTGTACCTATTCAAGATAATTCTAGCAAGAATGAGGACACTAATTCACTCTTGAAGGACTTGATGACACAGTTGAACAACCAAACGGTTGCAGACAAGCAATGTCTGCTAAATCAAATGAAGGAAGACAAAAATTTCTACAATTCCTCACTGACATCAGTACTGCAGAAAATGGACAGTGACAGAGCAACCATAAACTCTCGGCTCACTTCTATTTGTAAGGATCTAGAAGAAGTTAAGATGAAGAATTCCAACCTTTCCTCTTATGTTACACAATTATCCAATAGCATGAGTAACCAATAGGCTCCAATGGGAGGCACTTTACCTTCGAACATTGTAATAAACCCAAAAGCACTGCATGCTATAACTTTAAGAAGTGGAAAGAAGGTTGGAAATGTTGAGGATGATGAGGAAGATGTTCTGCAAAATGGTGGTTTAGAGGTTCAGAATGACATGGGAACAGCTTGGTTAAATACAAATGCCCCAAAATGTTATGAATCAGAGTCAGCTACATCCAAAGATCAACCAGAACAAAAATTAGACAAGGGCAGGAAGAATGCAGCAGCATTTGCAAAAGAAGATTCCACCTACAAGGATGCTAAACAATCTGCAACTGCAAAGCATATTCAAAATATGAAGAATAGTGAGCTGAATTCCAGTAATTGCAAGTCACAAAACACAGAAAAAGAAGCTGGAGATTCAGGTAAACGCTTTGACTTGAAAGATTCACCATTTCCTAAATCTTATCTGCTAGGCAAGAAAAAGAATAATGAAATACTGGAAAAAGAAATGATGGATCTGTATAGCAAACTAGAGATTAATGTGCCTATGTTGGTGTTAATTAAACAAATGCCTAGTTATGCTAAGTTTTTGAAGGAATTATGCACACATAAAAGGATTTGCAGACCCAATAAAAGAGTCCAACTAGGTTCTAATGTTTCAGCATTATTCAAGCCTCAATTACCTATCAAATGTGCTGATCCTGGCTCCTTTACTGTCCCATGCCAAATAGGAAGATTGAACTTTAGCAGTGCACTTTTGGATTTGGGTGCTGCCATTAATGTAATGTCCCATTCAGTTTATAATTCATTAGGGATCACAAACATCAAAACTACTAGTATAATACTTCAATTGGCCGATAGGAGTGCTAGGAAACCTTATGGTTTTTTAGAAGACATCCTAGCCAACGTCAAGGGTCTTGTAATTCCAGCAGATTTTTATGACTTAGACATGTCAAATGAATCTTGCCTTGAAGAATCTTTGATATTGGGAAGACCATTTTTGAGGACTGCAAACACTGTGATTAGCTTAAAAGATTTTCATTATAATGGAAGTTGGTGATCAAGTTGTCAAATTTAATGTTTATGAGGCCATGAAACATCCATTTGAAGATTATTCTTTGTTGGGGTTAAATATGATTGATACTGCCATGGATTGTGCCATTGAAGAACATGGAATGACTCTACAGAAATATGCTGAAAATGAAGAAGAAGACTGCAATGTTTGCTCATTTGATTCCACCCTCACCCATTTGAATTCTATCTTCTCTCATGGCTTAGAGAGTGATGTGTGTAGTATTAGATGCTTGACATTTGATAGCTCACTTTCCACCTTTAGTGCATTTCACTTTTATTTTTCAGAATCAAATGATAGTTCTATTTCTTCATTTTCTAGATATAATGCACTTGGGAAGGATGTTTTGTGTAGTTTTGCAGAATTACAGGATTGGTTGACTAATGACTTTACATCTGGAAGTGAGGAAACATTCAAAAGCTGCACAAGTGCACCTGATCGCCTGCTGAAAAATTTTGTAGCAACTGAATCTGAATTCCCAAATGAAGATGAGCAGTGTTCCAACATAGCTATGCCTTCTGTACATCAACTTCTGAAGATAAAGCAGCAAGTACAACAATCTAATTCAAGGAATTCAGAAGTCAAGAGTAAAACTCAATGCACAAATTTTGCAACACCAACTCAAGTCAGCTTGATTACCAAAAAAGAGGAGGAATTTGAAACAAACTACATTAACTTATTTCTTTTCACCAAAATTAAACAACTCCTCACTTAAATCTTGTGCTGTCATTGATGCAGGAATTACCACACAAGAAAATGCAACCCTGAAATTGAACCAGCGTGGGAATATCTCTAGGGACAGTGAAGCAAACATCAAATCCAAAATTGAGGGAACTGAAAAAATAGGGAAGTGTCTTGATGCTCTTGAACTTAAACAGCTTATTCCTTCTATTGAACAACCCCCTGATGTTGAGTTAAAACCATTACCCCATAATCTGAAATATGTTTTCTTAGAAGCGAATGAAAAGTTACCAGTTATAGTGGTTAATTCTTTGACTGAACTTGAGGAAACAAAGCTGATTCGTTCTGTTCTTAAAAAGTATAAAAGAGCAATTGGATGGACCTTGGCTGACATACTTGGAATAAACCCAACCGTGTGCACACATAGGATTTTATTACATGAGAATTCTAGGGCCATAAGGCAGCCATAAAGGAGACTTAATCCCTTAATATTGGATGTAGTAAAAAACGAATTGCTTAGTGCTGGTATTATTTTTCCAATTAATGATAGTGAATGGGTTTCACCTGTCCAAGTTGTCCCTAAAAAGAGTGGCATCACAGTTGTGAAGAATGAGAAAGATGAATTAATTCCAACTAGGGTCCAGAATTCCTGGAGGGTCTGTATTGATTATCGAAAATTAAATGATTCTACAAGAAAGATCATTTTCCTCTTCCCTTTATTGATCAAATGTTGTAAAGATTGGCTTGTAAATCTCACTACTATTTTTTGGATGGATTTAGTGGATACTTTCAGGTTCCTATAGCACCGGAGGACCAAGATAAAAACAACTTTCACTTGCCCCTTTGGAACCTTTGCATACCAAAGAATGCCATTTGGATTATGCAATGCTCCTGCAACCTTTCAAAGGTGTATGACTTCTATCTTTAGTGAACTATTAGAACACAGGTGTTGAGGTATTCATGGATGATTTTACCTTATATGGAGATTGTTTGATGACTGTTTATTAACCTTGGGCAAAAGCTTTAGCTAAGTGTCTAGAAAAAAATCTGACTCTTAATTTCAAAAAATGTCATTTCATGGTGGATAAGGGGATAGTGTTAGGACACCTGATATCACAGCAAGGAATTGATATAAGGTACGGATACGGATCAGCTAGAAACAAGTTAGAAAACTAGACGAACAATTGAAGGTAGGACCTTAAGAGAACCTATCTCTTACAACCATAGCCATGGAGAAGAATCATGTAAGTTGTGTGATAGATCTTGGCAAGATCTTGAAAAGGATCTTGATTCCTTGAGGTCACGTGAGGATACTCTAATATCGGAAGCTGGTGAAAATTGCTTTGGGCTAGAAATCTTTTCTTTCTCACATGCACCCAAATATAAATGATTATGTGAATCCCTTGTGCATTTGCAAAATAACTAAAGCAACAACAAAATCTAGGTAATAAGAAAGCCTCTTAACCATAATCTGAATGTAATAAGAACATGTGAACAACAAAATTCATATAACAAGGACAATTCAATGTGAGAAGTTTAAGACATCTCAAAGACAAAAGGTCATTGGGAATAACATCAGCATGTTTTTCAACATTGCTTGAATGAAATGAGAATCCATCGGGTGGCACTTCAGGAATCAAATCAACTACCTGCAACACACCAGAAACACAGGGCAAAGGATGATTAAGATGGTTAGTAATCAAAGAAATATCCTTGCAATCACCTTTAACCTCATTTTTCTCACAACTCTTTCCATGTTTCTCTTCGCTCAAAGAAACACTCTCATTTTTACTCTCATTATTTTCACAACACTCAATGTTCTCTATTGCACTTGTTTCTTTGCTCAAACTCTCTTCTTTTTTCACTTATTCGACATAATGGAATCCATCTCCTTTGATTGGACGTGGAGATGACATCTTTCTCTTGATTATTCTTCTTTGAAGAGGACGTTGTCATCTTGATTCCTTGAGGTCACGTGAGGATACTCTAATATCGGAAGCTGGTGAAAATTGCTTTGGGCTAGAAATCTTTCTTTCTCACATGCACCCAAATATAAATGATTATGTGAATCCCTTGTGCATTTGCAAATAACCTAAAGCACAACAAAATCTAGGTAATAAGAAAGCCTCTTAACCATAATCTGAACGTAATAAGAACACCTGTGAACAACAAAATTCATATAAAAGGCAATTCAATGTGAGAAGTTTAAGACATCTCAAAGACAAAAGGTCATTGGGAATAACAAAATTTAGGCTATCAGCATGTTTTTCAACATTGCTTGAATGAAATGAGAAATCCATCGGGTGGCACTTCAGGAATCAATCAACTACCTGCACACACCAGAAACACAGGCAAAGGATGATTAAGATGGTTAGTAATCAAAGAAATATCCTTGCAATCACCTTTAACCTCATTTTTCTCACAACTCTTTCCATGTTTCTCTTCGCTCAAAGAAAAACACTCTCATTTTTACTCTCATTATTTTCACAACACTCAATGTTCTCTATTGCACTTGTTTCTTTGCTCAAACTCTCTTCTTTTTCACAATTATTCGACATAATGGAATCCATCTCCTTTGAATTGGACGTGGAGATGACATCTTTCTCTTGATTATTCTTCTTTAAGAGAGCGTTGTCTTTCTGAATATTTATGTCTCTTGAGTTCTCGCTCATGCTTACTACGTAGAGAAACCAAATCTTTAATCTCCATGAAGCTGCACATTTCTGCAACACAAGCCAATCTAGGATTAAGCCCACATATAAAGCGATCCATAGTGGCTTCTGGAGTCTCCTTTATCCCAGCTCTAATCATTGCTAACTCCATCTCATTATGATAGCCCTCAACAGTCATGGAGCCTTGTTTTAACTCCTGCAATCTTCTATGCAAGTCTCTTTTAGACTTGGAGCTGCGATTAGACTTCAAATGGTCTACTTCAGCATTTAGCTTTTGGACTTCTTTTAGGAAGAAGTTGAGATCTTCCCTAAGCTCTTTATGACCATACATATTCGGTACCTGAAAGGTTAGAAACAGGGAGAAGAATGGACCTCACCACTCTACTCACGTGTTTCACTCAAAACAATTTATGCCGCTCATGTTTCTCTCAAATTTGGCTTTTAAATTGATGCATAACACTCTTGCCTTTTACCACTCAAGCTTGCCTCCTGTAATATTCTTGATTGAAACTCAACAAAATCAAGAGACAATGTTAGTTTGCGGTAATCTTCACAGCCAAAATTGGTAAGAACCAGTGACTATGTGAAGAGGGGAAAAGAAGGATAGGCCAAACGTGAGGATGGAATGAAGGAGGGGCAAAATGAGGAGAGAAGAAGTTTATGATTTAAAAAAAATGGATAGGAAAAAAAACGTGGAAAAAGGGAGGCAGAAATTGCAAAATGAAAATAAGGTTGTGAAAGGAAAGGAAAATAGGAAACAAAGTAATTAGGAAAGGTACTACCTTGAGACAGCTTTAGGAAAGTGAGTACCTTGCAAGAAAAGAACTGAAATTAGGAAAGCAATATGAAAAGGAATAGGAAACAAAAGGAAGAAGGAAACTTGAAGAAAGAAAATAGGAAAGTAATATGAAAAGGAAAGTAATTCAAAATAGGAAACTAGATAAAATAGAGGAAAGTAGGAGTCTTACCACCCAAGTACAAGATTTAGGAAATTAATTGTGACTTGCAATGGAAGCTCTTTCAAATTAGGAAACTTGTCTCTTGTGCTGCAATCTCCAAAATCTGAAACTCTCTCCTTTTTTTTTTTTCGAATTTTTTTTCAGCAACTTTGCAGCCCCCCTTTTCTCTCTCGCTCTCTCTCTCTCTCTCTTCTTTGTTTTCAACAACACACAGCACTTTTTTTTTTCTTTTTTCTTCACGAATTCTTTTTAATTTTAATTTTCTTTGCTACTCAAAAGAGCAAAGCAGTCAAGTGAACAGAAAGAAAAAAACAATGGGTGGGAAGGAGAGGAAAAGGGAAAAAAACGAAAAAAAATAATAAAAGGGACGAAAATAAGGAAGAAAGGAGGAAGACAGAATGAGAAGAATGGAAACGAAAGGAAAACGGAAGCAATAGAGAAAGCAACAAAAATGAAAACACCAAAAGGATAGAACTTGAAAGCTAGCAAGCCTTAGCTCTGATACCAAATGATATAAGGAACGGATACGGATCGGCTAGAAACAAGTTAGGAAACTAGACGAACGATCGAAGGTAGGACCTTAAGAGAACCTGTCTCTTACAACCCTAGCCATGGAGACACCACAAGGATGATCAGTCCTTGATACAGTCGAGTATTCCCACGAGAATACGAGGCG